ACATAGTTACTGACAAAATTTGAGTATGATGTATGGCCATTTCTTTCATATGTATTTATTTTTGTAGCTGAATGGTGGTATTAATAAGGCATGAGTTATATTCTAAAAAAAAAAATAATGGAGAGATGAATTTAATTAAATTTTCCTTTCATCAACTAAAGAAATAGAAGATAAATATAGTTGAGTTTATTAAGATTGAATTTGATTTACTTACGATGTGGGAATGGAAAGTCATGAAATGAATCACATTCATATCAGGCATCTATTGGGCACGAGAGAGATGCCGCCCTCGCTACAAAAGTTGTTCGCTTTGGATGAATGATTAATTAATTTCATGCTATCCGCCTATAAATATTAGAGAATTCATTAATTTGAATAAAGCCAACTTTATGTATTCTCATTTCTTTCTTGATCAACATCAAATTAAATTGAATTAATCTTTCCATGCTAATAACTTGTGCACAAATTCATGCGATGCTAGGTTTTTAATATGTAAATAAAATAAATTATCTTTAGTGCTAGTTTTTATTTTTAATGTTCAATAAATTATTAATTAACTTACCCATTATTTCAATTTTTATATTTTCATGCTAGGAATGTTTTACTTTTTCTTGTTAATTTCGTAATTGACATAATTGTTCAACAAATAACTAATTAATTTCTCCTTCTAATATCATATACCTATGTTTGGAGTTGTTGTTTTCACTCATTCTGCATTTATAGCATAATTTTTTCAAACCCTTGCAAAATAATATATTAAAATATTATCGCATCTCGTTCTGTATCACTTAATATTTGTGAATTGCTATTTACTGCCCCTATTTACTACGTATCCCTCTTGACCGTATTGACCCTCTCATAATTTCTTTTCTTTCATAAAAATTCGAAATCTCTCAAAACCTCCTCCGTCCGGATTCTCACTAAAAAAGTTCTGAAAAATGGCAAATCGTCACCACGACCGAGGGAAAGGTCTCATGATTCTTCCGATATGTTTTTTTTTTTTTTTCCAATTAGTAAAATTATTATTAAATTTTTTAAAAGAATTCTGGGATCGGCCGGTCGGCGATGCCGACTTTCGATCGCGGCAGGTCGGGCGTTGCTTTTGACTGATATACATGTTTCGGTGATTGGCTTCGATATGCTGCGCGACGTTTACACGGACGATCTATTCTTCAGAATGATTCTGTGCCATTTGGTTTCTAGGCCTTTCGAGGATTATGTCTTGTCTAACGGATTTTTGTTTCGAGGTGTGCGGCTATATATGCCGGATTGCAGCCTCTGGTTGAAGTTGGTTGTCGACCTTCATGGCGCAGGTCACGTGAGACGTGATCATTGACTTGGTTCGATAATCGTACTTCTGACCATCCCTGTGGCGCAATGTGTCGCGCTATGTGGGGGCACTGTCGAGTCTGCCAAGTGTCAAAGCGTGTCGCGTTAAATGCTGGTCTATATCTCCCTTTGACTATTCCATCCTAGCCTTAGTGCGCGATCAACATGGACTTCGGTGGTGGGTCGATTCTCCAAAATCGTACACTTCATTTCATGCAACCGCACAACTGATGCTGTGCAATGTGCATGTGTCTCAGTTGTTCTTTCGGGAGGTCTATCGTTTGCATGGGCTGTCACCCTTTATTGTCTCAGACCACGACACTCGTTTTCTCCGTTTCTTTTAGCGTGGCTTATGGAGTATGGCCAATACCTATTTGGACTTTTCCAGTGCTTATCATCTGCAGATGGACAGGCAGACAGAGGTGGTGAATCGCTCGCTGGGTAATTTGCTCTGTTGTCTGGTGGGTGAGTACTTGAGGAGTTGGGACTAGCGTCTGAGTCAAGCTGAGTTCGCACATAATTTGACTGTGAGTCGAGCCACGGGTTTTTCGTATTTTCAGACTGTGTATTGCAGCCGCGTGGTCCCTCGGACCTGCTGACCTTGCCATCCTCCGCAGTGAACGACCGACGTGCTGCGAATCTTATCGCAAATTTATAGACGACCCATGCCACGACTTGAGCTCGACTGGAGGAAACAACGACGCCCCTATAAGCGCTAGGCAGATGCTCGTCGCTGGCACATGGAATTCGAGGTGGGCGACTTTGTGTGGGAGGTTTTGAATAAGGACTGATTTTTTACCCACGAGCATAACAAGTTGTCTGCTAGGAAGATCAGGCCGTTCAAGATTGTTGAGAAGATTAATTTGAATGCTTACTGTCTACGCCTTCTGTCGCACATTCACACTTCTGACGTGTTCAACGTCAAGTATTTGGTGCGATTTACTGTGGATAATTCCGATGGAGATAAGACCGGTCCGGATTCGAGGGCGAATCCTTCTCAACCGGGGGAGGATGATCGAGACGAGATTGCGATCGTGTTTTTAGAGAAATATGATAGGCTCCGGATTTAAATTATTTATTTTTTATTATTATTGATCCTTATTATTATTCCTAGTTTATATTAACTAGTTTGGTAAGGAAATAAATATTTCGCCTAACTTGTTAGGCAAGATAAGTATGTCGGGGACTTAGGACTCTATATATTTAGGTTCATCATAGTCGATTGACTTTCATTGACATTAATAGAAATCTTGTGAGTTTTACTCTCGTATTCCGAATCGTCCACCACGCTACATCAAGACCTATGAAAACTTGGAAGGAAACAATAAAAAATGATTTTAAATATTTCAATTTGAATGATGATATGTGTTTTGATTGAGCATAATGACGACATGCGATCCATATAGCCGACCCCACTTAGTGGAATTTTAACGGCTTGTTGTTGTTTTTGTTTGTTGTTAATAATATTGAAGTTAGTGAGATTAGATTAAACTAGTACATACCTCGTCGATGTACGAGACATAGATATTAAATGAGTTATTTTCACAAGTTGTCCGTTTAAGTCTAAAAAGTAGGGTTATTATCTATTTTCTACATTTTTTTATCAGCGTTAACTCTAAAAAACAATAAAGTCATAATTTATGTTTCACATCTTTTAATCAACGTTAAGTCTAAAGAACACTAGGGTTATAATCTATTTTCCATCTCTTTTAATCAACGTTGTTTTTTTAGCTAGAACATTAAATATGAGCATGTTATGATTAGCTTGTAAAATAATTAATATATTATATCACTAACACATTTATTTATTTATTTTGTTGACTGGGAGGTATCTCCACATTCACTCCACGGCTTCACCACCCACTGCAGCCCACCAACTCACAGTAAAGGGTCTATCAAGCCTAGGGGATTCCCACGCAAAGGGGTGGGACTAATCCTCCCAGGATAAGTGCAATGCCTCACTCACACTTCTCACGATAGTCAGGATCAATCCAGTGACTTCTAGCTTCAAAGAGAGTTTCACCCTCCACTAGTCACCACTTGACCTCACGCCCTGGAGCCACTATATATATACATATATATATATATATATATATATATATATATATTTATTCATTGATATAATTGAAAATAACAATTTTACTTATTTTTGTTCATCATATAATACGTAATTATTTTTATTGTCAACTTTGTTGTCATATAATGGCACTACCATTTATAAAGTTATAGAAGTTGTACGCCTTCTTTTTCTTTTTATTTTATGTAATGAAAAATATTTAATGCACGTTAGTATTATTTATTTATGTAATCAATTTAAAATATATAAATAAATTTAAAGTTAAATAATGTATAAATATTTTGAAAAATAGACACCCATGTTTTTTTAGAATTTAATTTTGTATACTAATTAAACAACTTTGATTTAGCAAATGCTAAAAACTCAATCCCTTCTATAATCAATATTTTTCTAATTTGTATTATAAGGATTTATAGTTTATTTAGCATACTCAACAATGAATATATATTTTACAAGAATTTTATTATATAAAGAAATAACAGAAAAATGATATAAAATAATCCTGCTTGCTAATAATATACAAATAAATTCTAAAGAACAGTTAATATATTTCAATTTTAATTTTTGACCATTAGTAAAACTATTGTATCTAGTCATTATCTCTTAAATGTTAATTTATATTAATTTTAAAAATAATTTTTTTTATATATATAACAAAATAAAGCTTAAGAAAAAATTATATTGGCAAATTAATTCACCAACTTGATTTCGCCTGATCAATTCGAAGAAAAAAATTCTACCTAACCTGTTACGGATTTCTATAAATATTTTTTGGATAAAAAGTGAAGATTGTGAAAAAAAAAAATTAATATTATGGTTAGAACTTAAAATATGTTTTAATATTTATCTTGACCAAAATATTATCAATATGAATCGCATAAAATCAATCTTGTAATTATTATAATGGATATCAATAAATTATTGCAGATATTAATAAAATTATTTAAGAAAATAATATTTTTTATCATATCTGATTTGATCTTATTTAAAAACGTGTATATGGAAGCAATTAATGCATACATTTAAAAAGTTTTATAAAAAATGTATGCATTAATTGCTCCTAAAATTTTATTACTATTTTTAATAAATAATTATTCTTATTATATAGATATAGAAAAAAATATTTTGAAAATAATTATTCTTATTTAAGAACAAAATGATTGGTTAAAAATAATTAGATTTTTTTGAAAAATTTATATCGCACTTATCGTTCAAACTCTTTACATTTTTGTAATCGACCTTTACGGCTATGTTTGGTAAAACTAGCTGATAAGCTAGCTGATAGCTTATCACCAATTTTTTAGCTTAGCTTATGACATATAGCTGAAAAGCTAGCTTATATGATAAAAGTATTTGGTAAAATTAGCTGATAAGCTAGCTGAAATAAAAAATTCAACTAGCTTATTTAAAAATCTACATAAAGAAGCTTATCAAATAAGCTCGAGCTTTTTAAATAAGCCCATCCTACCAAATAAGACTTATTTGAATACAGAAAACTTATAAACTAATAAAATAAGACTTATTTGAATACAGAAAACTTATAAACTAATAAATAAGCTATAAGTTAGCTTATTTAGTTTACCAAATTTTATTTCTTCCCCGTTCGAAATTACACAGACCAATCACGGGCACAAGAACACAAGAGTTGTTCTTATATATTCTTGTCAGTCGTCAGGATTTTTCATTTAATTTGTCCATATTAAACTTCACTGACCAACAAACAAATGGCGAGGGCTAGGGGAAATCGGCATCAGGGAAAGAGATCCTCTACGGTGGTTTTGGTGCTGTTCATGCTGTTAATGCTGTCGGTGGTGCTCCTGATGCTCCTCGGCCTTGGCATCCTCTCTCTTCCGATAGGCTCCGACGAGAAATCTTCCACTGTTGGCGATCGAATCAAATTGAAGCGATTGGAATTAGCCATGTAAATTTTTACTTTATTTTCATTTTTCAGTTTTAGCATTGCGTTTTTATTGATATGTCTCGGATTACCAATTGCATTGTTTATTAATGTTTATACAGCAAGAGTAAAGGAGAAGGATTGAGAAAGAGTGAAGGAGAAGGATTGGGGAAAAGAGGTGAGCAGTGGACGGAGGTTTTATCGTGGGAGCCTAGGGCTTTCTTGTATCACAACTTCTTGGTGAGTTTTGTTAATTTTATTAGTAATTTTGGTGATTCCTTTTTCGTTAGGTTTGAAGGGTTTTAAATGTAGATCAGAATGCATTTCGGTTGGGCGTGTTTGTTTGTTCTAGTACTGCTATTTCTCTTAATAGGATTTAGCTTATGTTGGGATAATGCTTATCTGAAACTTGACTACTTTTCGCTGGCAGTCTAAGGAAGAATGTGAGTATCTGATAAGTCTTGCAAAACCTCACATGGTGAAATCTTCAGTGGTTGATAGCAAGACCGGCAAGAGTAAAGATAGCAGGTTTAATGCTCTATACGTATTTTATTAATTATATCAGTGTTTTTTGTTTCACCACATTGTACTTGAATTGTCTCTGGAACTTAGATTTCAGTTATCCCATGTTTGGGACTTATAAAGAAGCAAAATCACATTCAGGGTTCGGACAAGTTCTGGAATGTTCTTGAGGAGAGGGATGGATAAAGTCATCAGAGATATCGAAAAACGAATTGCGGACTATACCTTCATACCTGCAGGCATGTGAATTTAAGTGCACATCTAGGAAAGGAATCTGCGCTATGTGGTTTGTCATGTGTGAGGCAGCTTATGTGTCTCAATTTAACTGGTTGTTATAATTGCTGTAATTACATGAAATTCAAACATAGGAGCTTTTAGTCCGATAATAATGTCCTAATTTCCAAATTCTGAGAGTTGGATTGAAATTTATGATAAAAATTAAATGGCATTAGGATAGTCTCTTTCTCACATTCCGAAGTACTCAGCATTCCTTGTTTGTCAGCTCTTGTATAGAATGAAGCTCTGCAAGTGATAATATTTTATTATATTTTTTCTTTTGTTTCCTTTCATTTTTCGCCCTCTTATTATATATTATCCTAAGCAACAGCAGCCTTATGTTTTCGTCATAACAACAGACCATGGAGAAGGTCTTCAAGTTCTTCACTATGAAGAGGGACAAAAGTACGAGCCCCATTATGACTATTTTCTTGATGAATTCAACACGAAAAACGGGGGTCAACGCATAGCTACTTTACTTATGTACTTGTAAGTACTCCATATTTATATTAATGCTCCCAGATTATCTATATTTTGGTGAATACTGTACTCTAATGAAATGAGGTACCCAATGCAGGTCAGATGTTGAAGAAGGGGGTGAGACAGTTTTTCCGGCTGCCATGGGCAATTTCAGCAACACGCCAGGGTGGAATGAGATGTCTGAGTGTGCTAAAAGAGGCCTTTCTGTGAAGCCCAAAATGGGTGATGCATTACTTTTTTGGAGCATGAGGCCCGATGCTACTCTGGATCCAACAAGCTTGCATGGTGAGTCTCGATTTTTGTCCAAGTGTGTGATTTTTCATCAATTTGATTTTCCTATATGATGCTATATTGGACCCAAAATAATTGAGGAGAAAAGTATCAAGCAAGATTTTTCGCGATATTATATATCTATTCTAGTACAGGATGTTGCAGTTGTTACAAACTTTTTATCAAGGTTCATATTACCTGAAAAATGTAGCCCTATCCTATCTAGGTGCAAATCGTAGTTTTTTCCTTTAAAAAAAAATTACCTATGCCAGGAAACATATTATCTTCTTACATTTAAGGAATGCTTTCGTGTCTATGAAATGTTTTTGTGTCTCTGAGTTCTTACCTACTTTCTTTTAGTCATTTTTAATGTTTGACCATCAATTCTGAAATTTGATCCCAGGTGGTTGCCCAGTTATCAAAGGGAATAAGTGGTCCTCAACAAAGTGGATGCATGTTGGTGAATACAAAGTCTAGGAATTTCTCTTGAGGTAAAATTTAAACTCGGCATGTATTTAGCAAACGTATAGCGATCGTGTCACCTTTATTTACTTTGCTAGATATCCAATTGTCCATTATGCCAATTTAAATGCTAATGATGATTGCTTTGTATGCCCATCTTTTAGAAATTGTGATTTTCCTTCATTTCTTTTACTGGGCAGGTGATATAAGACATTGACAATTCTCTTGTCACGTGTCGACTAATTTGCGACTTAACAGCATTTGTGTTGTGAGAATTTCGAGAATGGTGTACGTTTCAAGAGGGGATTTCATTTGTTGAAAATAAACTTTCAAGGCGACACCCTATACATTACTACATGGTTAAGAAGATATGTTGAGTCATAGGATAGAGGATGTAGACAGCTGGGAGCCACATTTTGTAACTTGAGAAAACCAAATGTTAGCTTATATAAAGTGACTGTAAATTGTTGTACAATACTGAAATATTCAATTGTTTCAATAGCAGAAAGCTTTTTGTCCTTGAGGGCACGTTAAAAATCCTGTGAAAATAAAGGAACATCTTGTGAACTACTACGTTTCCTTTGAACAGGCAATATCAGTCCATCCCTTCGGTTCCAATCCAAAAGAAGTACGCTTTCTCCAAGTCGAGTAGAACGGATTAAGGAGACTTTTAATTTTTACAGGCGTGGATAAAAATATTGAAAAAGCGTTTTTTTCTTTTTAGTCTGTTCGGTGAAGGAGGATTAAACTGGAAGCAAGCGGAGGATAATTGTAACTTGGAGTGATGAAGTAGACTACACCAAATTTATTCACCCTCGCATAAGATGAGATAAATTTAATATTTATCTCATCACATCTGTATGACAATTGTATTAGGGAAATGTTTTCTGAGACAAAGTTTCATATGCTTATGTGTGACAACAATAAATATATTCTCTTAAGGGATACTTGAACTACACCAAGAGGGTAGGCATCAAGAGAAAGATGATTACTTTCCTTTATTCAATTTGCGGAACTAAAATTCTTTTCTTGTACAGTTATCCACATCACAATTAACTTTCCGGTGCCTATATATACGTATCTCTAGCTTCATATGTTGATATAACCAAAAAAAAAAAAAAAAATGTCGCTAAAAAGAAATGATTATACATACAATAAGCAGCACAACTTCCGGAACTCGGAGCCGGAGGTCAGGCGGTACTGCATCGACTGCCACCTCCCGATCTTCTTGACCCCCTACACAAAATCCACAAACGACGACGGGTACATGGGATCCACACACGACACGTGCGTGGACCCCCCAGACACGTTGGCCCCACCGCTATTGCATCCTGGGGGTTCCCTCGTCATCAATCGAAAAAGGCATCGTTGGCGGAGGGATGCTCCCATGTGCAGCAGGTGCGGGTGGGAGTGTGGGGACACCTTGTACGAGTGCCCGGACGTTGATGGTTGTGGGTTCAGGCTCGACTCGGTGTGCGCTCTCTCGGTCAAGGTGATGCACAGGAGCCACGAGCACAGGCTGATGGCTGTGAGAGGGTCGTTCTCCTCTAGCTGGTGCAGTGCGTGCGGGTCCCAGCACGGTGGCGGCCGCGCGGTGGGGTCATTGCACTGGGACCAGTTCTATGTGTGCGCCGAATGCGACTTCTGGCTTCATCCCGACTGTGCCGAGCTGCCCAATGCCGTCAAAGGCGGGGGCGCTTTACAAGCATCCACTTATGTTGCTTTATGTAAGGGGGTGGTTCGAATGAAATAAGTTTCAATGCAATATTTGCAGCGACATTGAGGAGAAGAAGGATGAGTTCAATGGTTTTGGGTTTTATGTTTGCTTCAATTGTGATTACTATACTCATGTCAAGTGTGCCAAGGCTAAGAGTCCCCATGGACTCAGGAAAGGTACCGAAATCAAATTAGTATTAATGTTGTTATTGTTGCTTTAGTCAAGAATTAATCTACTTTACCAAATCATGTGTTGGAAAGATCTGGATCGTTGATTTTTGGTAATATTATAATGAGAAGAGTTGTAGATGCATACTTCACATGTGTGTTTCGGGTTATTCTATCTTTAAAACCACTCTGGTAGTGTAGCATGACTCTTGGGTCAATATAAGCCACTCATTGAGAAATATTAATTTAATATGGTTATTATCAAGATATATGTAAATTTGCAGAGTATATCTTTGATGGTGTCATTCCCAACTCGATTCGCCTTCCAATGAAAGATGACCACGTGAGCGTGATGCCACTTTTGATGGAGGCCCTTGACATTACAAATGACAGTCGCTCTACTAGTACAAGTACCGGCAGTGATGTGGGTGGTCATACTATCGATCTTGCTACTACTGGTTATGATCATGAGAGAGTAGTAGTAGACGAGCATGTTTTGATCCTTCATGATGGTTATCATTATGATACTTATGTCGAGCGTGTATGCAATGCTTGTGTTCAACCCATCTCTCCATCCAATTCATTTTATAGTTGTGTTGATCATAACGAAACATCATCAGAAAATGGCAGCCCATGCAAAGATTTCTTTCTCCACAACTGTTGCGCGTATCTTCCCGCGGCACTTAACTTCCCTCGAAAGAGACATAAAACACTCACCCTCTTAACCTGCAAGGCAGACGGCGAAAAGAAGACTCCCTTCAATTTGTTTAAATGTGACGGCTGCCAGTACACGTGCAATGGATTCGCCTACTTATCACAGACGGACGATGGCACTTCTCTTGTTATGGACGTCGTGTGCGCCATCATGCCCACCTCGATTATGCACCGATCCCACGGTGTGTATCATATACTCCAATCGAAAACTTACAACCAACAATAGTGTAACTACTGTAGATTGGAATTAAAACCCGACACTAGCTATGCATGCAACAACTGCCGTAATTTCGGGATACACTTAGCTTGCGCCCTCATTCCGGAACAAGTAATCTACAGCAAGTTTGATGCCCACCCGCTTTTCCATTGGTGTAATCTCGAAAAGGAACAGTCGATACTTTGCGAGGTATGTGAAAATAGCATACCAAGTGACGAGTGGCACTACAATTGCTACAAATGTCAACAGTCATTGCACTTTAACTGCACCCCATTTGTCGATCGACTCTCCAAGATCAAGTTTGGGTTTACTATCCGTGTACGAGGCCATTCGTGTTCCGTTGCTTGTGTACGCGTGCTTTCGATTTATTGCTACCCGTGTGGCCATTGCGGGAAGACCATAAAGGAACACAAAGACGAAATTGCTTTTGAGTGCCCCAAGTGTTATTTTAGGATCCACAAAGAATGTTGTGTAGAAACACTCTTGTCAGATAAGGTTGAGTGGAAAGGGGTTGAATAAGTAGTCTGTCTATGTATTGTGATGTTGTAATAATTGGAGTTGCTTTGTAGTAATAGCTACATTTTCTGTTATTGCATTATCTGTGAAAGTCATATGGTCCTCTTCTCAAAAAAGCTGATGAGAGGAACAAATCTAAGCTTTGTATATTATTTGCAACCAACTATAAATAAAATTTGTTCTTTATTAATATTCCAAGGATAGTATGGTTATTTTTGTCGTAACAAGTGTTACATGTAAAAGAAGAAACGATATTTTTTGGAAACCTTTAAATAAAAGAAAGTGGTTTATGTAAATGTTATGAGAGTGACTAGAATTGAAGATGAAAATGTTTCATAAGGAAATTCGTGAAGAAGGGGAAGAAGGAAAAGTTGTGTAAGAAATGAATAATGATGTTGATTGAGAATGCTGGGAAGTTAGCCACGTGTCTCCGTATTGGCCCTTAGTGGAGGGAAACAAAATTTACCAGGATATGGGCATTACTATTTACCGCCCCTTATTATTATGTACCGCTCCTTTTGGATATTTTTGCCCCTGCTATTTTTTTTCAAAAAGTAAAAAAAAAAAATATTGTTGTCCGGCC